GTTGGAGGACAGGAAAAGAGATTTAAAGATGGGCTCAAAGCCAACCTTAAAAACTCTGGCATAGACACTGAGAACTGGGAAGCCCTGGCCCTTGAGTGCTCCAGCTGGAGGTCAGCTATGACCAGCAGTGCTGTAGAATTTGAAGAGGCACGAATGGAGGGCAAAAGAGAGAAACGTGCCAAGAGGAAGGTGCGTCAAGCCAACCCCGACCGGGACCCCCTTCCACATGGAAACCAATGCCCTCACTGCGGGAGAAGATGCGGGTCAACTTGATGACCGAAATGTTGGTGGTGCTAATCTGGGGAGCAGGATGAGCTTCCGCTGTTAGCCCCAGCTTCCGCCAATCTAGCAGTTAAAAAACATGCAAATCAACTTATATCCCCATACCAAAAAAGGGAAATGCGAAAGACTGCTCAAACTTCCGTACAGTGGCCCTTATTTCTCATACCAGTAAGGTAATGCTCAAGATCCTGCAAGGAAGACTCCAGCAATACATGGAGAGAGAGTTGCCAGATGTTCAAGCTGGGTTTAGAAAAGGCAGAGGAACGAGAGACAAAGTTGCCAATATCCGCTGGATAATGGAGAAAGGCAGGGAGTTTCAGAAAAACATCTACTTCTGCTTCATTGACTATTCTAAAGCCTTTGACTGTGTGGATCATAATAAATTGTGGCAAGTCCTTGGTGGGATGGGCATCCCAAGCCCCCTTCCCTCTCTCCTGAGGAATCTGTACAAGGACCAAGTAGCAACAGTCAGAACTGACCACGGAACAACAGACGGGTTCAAGATTGGGAAAGGCGTACGGCAAGGCTGCATCCTCTCACCCAACCTTTTTAACTTGTATGCAGAACACATCATGCGAGGATGTGCGGGGCTTGATGAATGCAAAGCTGGGGTGAAAATTGCTGGAAGAAACATTAACAACCTCAGATATGCAGATGACACCACTCTGATGGCCGAAAGCGAGGAGGAGCTGAGGAGCCTTCTAATCAAGGTGAAAGAAGAAAGCGCAAAAACCGGGTTGCAGCTAAACATCAAAAAAACCAAGATTATGGCAACAAGAATGATTGACAACTGGAAAATAGAGGGAGAAAATGTGGAGGCAGTGACAGACTTTGTATTTCTAGGTGCAAAGATTACTGCAGATGCAGACTGTGGCCAGGAAATCAGAAGACGCTTACTTCTTGGGAGGAGAGCAATGTCCAATCTCGATAAAATAGTAAAGAGTAGAGACATCAGACTGGCAACAAAGATCCGCCTAGTCAAAGCCATGGTATTCCCTGTAGTAACCTACGGATGTGAGAGCTGGACCTTAGGGAAGGCTGAGCGAAGAAAGAGAGATGCTTTTGAGCTGTGGTGTTGGAGGAAAGTTCTGAGAGTGCCTTGGACTGCGAGAAGATCCAACCAGTCCATCCTCCAGGAAATAAAGCCCGACTGCTCACTGGAGGGAAGGATACTAGAGACAAAGTTGAAGTCCTTTGGCCACATCATGAGGAGACAGCAAAGCCTAGAGAAGGGAATGATGCTGGGGAAAGTGGAAGGCAAAAGGAAGAGGGGCCGACCAAGGGCAAGATGGATGGATGGCATCCTTGAAGTGACTGGAATGACCTTGAAGGAGCTGGGGGTGGTGACGGCCGACAGGGAGCTCTGGCGTGGGCTGGTCCGTGAGGTCACGAAGAGTCGGAGACGACTGAACGAATGAACAACAACAACATTATATGTATATGAACTATCTATCTATAATCTATAAACTTTGGCAAATATATGTACTATCTATCTATATGGCAAATATAACTATTCTTTATTACATGTATTATCTATGAACTATCTATCATATAATCTGATTCAAAGTGGATAATGTGGATAATTTTATGTGATAATCTGGATTATATGGTAGTGTTGAAGTGGTCTGGGAAATCTCTAAGGAATCCTGCTCTGCTCAACTCTTGCAAACTCAGCCCCCTCTTCTACACAGCCATATAATCCAGATTAGCAAAGCAGATAATCCACTTTATCTGTTTTGAGCCATATAAGAGTCTACACTGCTGTATATTCCAGTTCAAATTCTTTCATTTCTTGCATTACTTCGAAGCTTCGTAGCTTCTGTTAAAGAAGAGGGAAAAATAACATCAGGCTTTGTTAACAACACACATTTATATTGATAGCTGTTGTGATTCCCCCCCCTCCCCTCATATCCTAAAGATTATATTTGGTACAAGTGCTCAGAATTATGCTTGCTGGGGATGCATCCAAAGCACCCCAGACGGATGGCCATCCAGCCTCTGTTTTAAAGCCTCCAAAGAAGCAGCCTCCACCTCACTCCGGGGCAGAGAGTTCCACAGCTGAACAGCTCTCACAGTCTCCACTCAGCCTTCTCTTCTTCAAGCTAAACATGCCCAGCTCTTTAAGCCGTTCCTCATAGGGATTCTATGATTCTATGAAAAAGGGGCCTTTGCAAAATAGAATAGAAAATAATAAGAAATTAAAATAAATTTAATAATATATTTAATAAAAATGTGATGCTGTTGGTGAATGAATTAATAATAATAAAAAATATAATTATATACTGAAATAATACATTATTATTATTATTATTATTGATGTTGGTTATTATTATTATTATAATTATTATTGGTTATGTTTTAAAGGAAGGAACTGGCAAAATGACCTCTGTGTGTGTGTGTGTGTGTGTGTGTGTGTGTGTGTGTGTGTGTGTGTGTGTATATATATATATATATATATATATATATATATATATATCCCTGTAGAAGAAACTCTATGAAAGTACATAATATAATAGGCTTGTGTGATGTATTAAATGTTTCATTAGGAAGTGGGGTAGGGAAACCATGTCTAAAGTGTTTCTGAAATAGGACAACAACAATGACACTGTTATGACCCCAAGGCAAGCCCCGCCCCTAAGAATCCCCTAAAGCCCGCCCTCTGCCTGCTTTCATTCACACATTTTTAGCCAGTGATGTAATTAAAGGCTCTCGTCCAATCAGCAGCCGCGCCTGCTTCCTCTCCATTCACTGGATGGGTAAGCCACGCCCACCGTTCCACCGGGGGGCGTGGCTCCTCCTCTGTTCCCCCTCCCTCTTTGTCCTTTCTCTTCCTCCCTTCCTTTTCCCCGCCTTCCGGGCCCTGTCAGCCAATAAGGAAAGGCGATGTGCCTTGAGTGACGCAAGCGAGACCAATGAGCTTGAAAAGAACTAAAGAACTGCTCTCTTTTGCCTTTCCCCGCCTTCCAGGCCGTTTCGCCCAATGGGAAGAGAGAATTGACTTTGAGTGACGTGAAGGGTTAGAGTGAACCAATAAGGTTCGAGAGTCAGGGCGGAGTCGAAGTGAGGCAAATAAGGCGATTCGGAAACGGTTGAGAGATGTTTGTCCAATCCCCTTCGCGTTCCCTCCATTTCCCCGCCTTCGAGGCCGTTTCACCCAATGGAAAGAGATAATTCCCTTTGAGTGACGTGAATGGTTAGACCAATAAGGTGCGAGAGTTAGGGCGGAGTCGAGAGTTGAGGGAAGAAATATAAGGTGAGGCGATTCAGAGGGTTGAGGGGTGTCTGACCAATCCCCTTTCCCCGCATTCCGAGCCATTTCACCCAATGGGAAGAGCGAATTGACTTTGAGTGACGTGAGGGATTAGAGTGGACCAATAAGCTTCGAGAGGTAGGGCGGAGTCGAGGTGAGGCAAGTGAGGCGATTGGAAGAGAGTTGAGAGATGTCTATCCAATCCCCTTCCCGTTCCTTCCATTTTCCCGCCTTCCAGTCGTTTCACCCAATGGGAAAAGCGAATTGACTTTGAGTGACGTGAAGGGCGGAGTCGAGGTGAGGCTACTGAGGAAGTTTCACCCAATAGGAAGAGCGCATTGACTTTGAGTGACGTGAGGGATTAGAGTGAACCAATAAGCTTCGAGCGTTAGGGCGGAGTCGAGGTGAGGCAAGTGAGGCGATTGGAAGAAGGTTGAGGGCTGTCTGTCCAATCCTCTTCTCGTTCCCTCCGTTGCCCCGCCTTTCGGTCCGCTTCACCCAATGGGAAGAGCGAATTGACTTTGAGTGACGTGAGGGATTAGAGTGGACCAATAAGCTTCGAGAGTTAGGGCGGAGTCGAGGTGAGGCAAGTGAGGCGATTGGAAGGCTTGAGGGCTGTCTGTCCAATCCCCTTCCCGTTCCTTCCATTTTCCCGCCTTTCCGTCGTTTCACCCAATGGGAAAAGCGAATTGACTTTGAGTGACGTGAAGTGTTAGAGTGGACCAATGAGCTTCGAGAGTTAGGGCGGAGCCGAGGTGAGGCGAGTGAGGACTGTCTGTCCAATCCCCTTCTCGTTCCCTCCGTTGCCCCGCCTTTCGGACCGCTTCATCCAATGGGAAGAGCGCATTGACTTTGAGTGACGTGAAGGGCTAGAGTAGACCAATAAGCTTCGAGAGTTAAGGCGGAGTCGAGGAGGCAAGTGAGGCGATTGGAAAAGGGTTGAGGGCTGTCTGTCCAATCCCCTTCTCGTTCCCTCCGTTGCCCTGCCTTTCGGACTGCTTCACCCAATGGGAAGAGCGAATTGACTTTGAGTGACGTGAATGGTTAGACCAATAATGTTCGAGAGTTAGGGCGGAGTCGAGGTGAGGCAAGTGAGGCGATTCGGAGAGTGTTGAGGGCTATCTGTCCAATCCCCTTCTCGTTCCTTCCGTTGCCCCGCCTTTCGGACTGCTTCACCCAATGGGAAGAGGGAATTGACTTTGAGTGACGTGAAGGGTTAGACCAATAATGTTCGAGAGTTTAGGGCGGAGCCGAGAGCTGAGGGAAGGAAGACAAGGCAGGTCGAGGGGTGCCTGTCCAATCCCCTTCCAGTTCCTACCGTCGGAGACTTTTCATCCAATGGGGGTAACGGAGGCGCTTGAGTGACGCGGCTGAGTGACCAATGGCGGGGAGGAGCGAGGCGCGGAACGGGGCTTGGCGTGAGGGGCCGCCGGGCGCGAGGCGGGGCCGGCCATTTGCGAGGCGAGACCGGAAGTGGGCGGACGGGGCCGAGAGGGGCTCCCCTCCTGCGGCCATGTCCGGGGTGGTGCGGACGCTGAGCCGCTGCCTCTTGCCGGCCGAGGCCTCTCCCCGCGGGACCGGGAAGGAGCGGGGCGGGGGCGGCGGGGAGGCGGAGCGCGAGGCCCGGCGCCGCAGCCGCGAGATCGACGCCCAGCTGGCCCGCGAGCGCCGCGCCGTCCGCCGCCTGGTCAAGATCCTGCTGCTGGGCGCCGGGGAGAGCGGCAAGTCCACCTTCCTCAAGCAGATGCGCATCATCCACGGGAGGGAGTTCGACCAGAAGGCCCTGCTCGACTTCCGCGCCACCATCTACGAGAACGCCCTCAAGGTACTGGCCCAGCGGGCCTCCAGGCCAAGGGGAGGGCGCCCCAAACAACACTCAACAATCACAACACATACACACACACATATACACATATAATAATATAATATACTAGCCTCCCCCTGCCACGCGTTGCTGCGGCCCACTCTGGTGGTCATGGGGGTTCTGTGTGGGAGGTTTGGCCCAATTCTGTCGTTGGTGGGGTTCAGAATGCTCTGTGATTGTAGGTGAACTATAAATCCCAGCAACTACACAACTCCCAAATGTCAAGATTCTATTTTCCCCAAACTCCACCAGTGTTCACATTTGGGCATATTGAGTATTCATGTAGAGTTTGGTCCAGATCCATCATTGTTTGAGTCCACAGTGCTCTCTGGATGTAGGTGAACTACAACTCCAAAACCAAGGGACACTGCTCACCAACCCCTTCCAGTATTTTCTGTTGGTCATGGGAGAACTGTGTGCCAAGTTTGGTTCAATTCCATCGTTGGTGGGCTTCAGAATGCTCTTTGATTGTAGGTGAACTACAAATCCCAGCAACTACAACTCCCAAATGACAAAATCATATTTTTTTTTGAGTGAAGGACATACGTTGGTTGTTAGGTGTCTTGTGTCCAAATTTGGTGTCAATTTGTCCAGTAGTTTTTGAGTTCTGTTTATCCCACAAACGAACATTACATTTTTATTTATATAGATTGTATGTACATATAATATTGATAATATTATAATGTAATGCAATATAATAAAATATACCAGTTGCTGCTCTGGGACCAGAGTGAAGAGAGGGGGCCAGGAAGACAGTTCACCCTTGCCTCCTGCACTGTGCTAATAATATAATATAAATAAAATATTGATAATATTGTAATGTAATACAATATAATAATAATACTACAGTATTATAATTATTTTATATTACATGTAATATTGCTAATAGTATTACAGTATAATGGTACAGTACAATATAGTAATATATCATACTAATACTGTGCTATGGTGATAATATAATGTATTGTATTTACATATTACTTGTAAGCCGTAATGTGTTGTATTTAAATATTACTTGTGAGTCCCCTTTGGGATGAGAAGGGCGGCATATAAATGTCATAAATAAATAAATAAACACACACACTAGCAGTCCCCCTGCCATGCATTGCTGTGGCCCAGTCTGGTGATCTGGAAAATAAAGTAATGAGAAAGTGCTGGTTTCTAATATATGTCATTTCTTTATGTTTGTGTGTAAACTGTATTTCTTGTTATTTCTTGGTCATGTTGATGCGGAGAGTGTCTGGTTTGCCAACTCTGGAACATGCAAGATATATTTGTCTTTCTTTGTGGGTCCCTTTCAAATCTATGATACTACATTTGTCATATATACAGATATATGTGTGTGAATCATATCTATCTGTATCTATGGCTGGATGGCTCTTTGTCAGGAGGGCTTTGATTATGTCTTCTTGTTCTGGCGAAGGGAGTTGGACTGGAAGGCCTTAAAGTGGCATTTCTCAACCTGGGGGTCACGAGGGAGTGTCAGAAGGGTCGCCAAAGACCATCAGAAAACACAGTATTTTCTGTTGGTCATGGGGGTTCTGTGTGGGAAGTTTGGCCCAATTCTGTTGTTGGTGTGGTTCAGAATGCTCTTTGATTTTAGGTGAACTATAAATCCCAGAAACTACAACTCCCAAATGTCAAGGTCTATTTTCCCCAAACTCCACCGGTGTTCACATTTGGGCATATGGAGTATCTGTGCCAAGTTTGATCCATATCTATCATTGTTTGAGTCCACAGTGCTCTTTAGATGTAGATGAACTACAACTCCCAAACTCAAGGTCAATGCCCATCAAACTCTTCCAGTATTTTCTCTTGGTCATGGGAGCTCTGTGTGCCAAGTTTGGTTCAACTCCATCATTGGTGGAATTCAGAATGCTCTTTGATTATAGGTGAACTATAAATCCCAGCAACTGCAACTCCCAAATAACAAAATCAAGTATTCAAATTTGGGTGTATCAGGTATTTGTGCCAAATTTCGTCCAGTGAATGAGAATACATCCTGCCTATCAGATATTTACATTACAATTCATAACAGTAGCAAAATGACAATTACGAAGTAGCAACGAAAATAATGTTATGATTGGATGTCACCACAACATAAGGAACTGTATTAAGGGGTCGCGGCATTAGGAAGATTGAGAAACACTGCCCTAACAGGACCCAAAGCAGCTCACGAAAAAATACAATACAAATCAAAATAAGTCTGTCTATATCTAGATACACATAATAAAAGTGAAAATATGTATGTTGGCTGGGGTGTCCGCTTGCACACACAATCTCCTGCTTCCACAAACAACTATAGCTCCCACTGCTCAGGAGACACCAAAGGCCCTCCCTCCAATGACATTGCAGGTAATAGTGAGTGCCAAGAGTTCTGTCAATCTTCCCACAAACACCACACTGCCCACCACCCAAGTGAAAGTTTTCATTCGGGGACAGTTCCATCCTAGATTTTATGTGTTTCTTTCACTACAGGCATCCCAGTGTTCCTTACTCTCTCCACTGGTGTGGAATTTGCATGACTCTACCTATGGCCTCTCCCTTAACCCTTTCCTATTCTCTGTGGCACACAGCAAACAGAGGAATTGATCAGCAGCTGAACATACTGGATAGATTTGGGGAGAATTTACCATGATTTATAGGAGTTGTAGGTACTGGGATGTACAGTTCACCTGCAGTCTTAGAGAACTCTTAACTCCAATGATGGACCTGGAACTAACTTGCCACACAGAACCCCCATGACCAACAAAACATACTGAATGGATTTATAGTTGTAGTTCACCTATATCCAGAGCTCACTATGAACACAAACAAAGATGGATCTGAACCAAACTTGGCATGCATACCTGGTATGCTGAAATTTGATTATTGGAGGCGTTTGGAGGGAGCTGACCTTCCTTTCTGGGAGTTTTAGTTCACCTACAATCAAAGAAACTGCGACCTCCACCAATGGTGGACCTGGTCCAAACTTGGCACACAGAACCTCCATGAGTAACTCAGCCTACTGGAGGGCTTTGAGGGGACTGACTCCCCATAGTGGGAGTTGTAGTTTACCCTACAGCCAGAGAGCACACCGAACCCCACCAATGATGCATCTACTGCAGACTTTCCCAGCATAACAAGCTTTAAGTACTGATGAAGTTTTTCAGTGTTAACCTGTCATTATGTGATTTGTAGTTCACCCACAACCTTATGCGTTGTGTACAATTAAAAAATTGACAATTTTCTAAATAAGCCGGGCAACACTGAGTACCCAAGATAGTTTAACATAAAATACAAGACAAAAATCATACAAACAATAATATTCAGAAATAAGGTATAAATAAATATTAAGCACTAAAACATTTAAAACCAATTACAATTATTGTGGAGGCTCATCATTAAGAATGTATATAATAGTACACCCTCCTTGTATGAAGGTCAGTCTATCACCCTGTCTCTCTACGAGTTCTCACTCACAAATAATTCTGCTCCTGTATCTCACCCTGAGTTTTTAATCATTTTATGTACATGCAGCCCGCTCACTGTCATGTTTGGTTTACTGTTTTTTTTTCTATTGTAGTTATATGTTCTGTATTTTTCTGTGATGTTGTTTATTTTATTGTAACTTGTATCTTATTTAATTGGAATTTGTTGTATGGGCTTGGCCTCATGTAAGTCGCCCCGAGTCCCTGTTGGGGAGATGGTGGCGGGGTATAAATGAAGATTATTATTATTGTCGTTGTTGTTGTTATTATTATTTTGCTAAGCTCAGTGCAAATCGACCTTGCTGTCATTGGCCATTGAATTTGTTTGTCAAAAGCTTGCTTGAACAGGTAGGTCTTCAATTGGTTTTTGAAAGATAACAGGGAAGGAAGGGGCATTTTAATCTAAATGGGGAGGCAGCTCCAAAGGGATGGGGCCGCTACCAAGGAGGCCCTCTCTCTCTCTCTCGTCACCAGCAACCATATATGTGACGGCAGCAATGAGAGAAGGATCCCTTTAGAAGATTTTGATGATTGGGCAGGTTGGTAAGAGGCGATGCAATCAGGTAGGTAAGTTGGACCTGAACTGTTTACAGCTTTAAAGGTCAAGGTCACAAAGGTTCCTGGGCATTGAAGGCCCATGCACTTGGAAGAGGCCAGAAGGAGAGAGGTGTAGGTCAGGCATATAGACATACATACCGTTGCTTAGGGTTAGGGATTTGGTCATGCCCAGTGTGGAATACATCTCCACGTTCAAACATTGGGTGTGTTTTTATTTATTTATTTGGAGCCCCCAGTGGCAGGCCGAAAGATCAGCAGTTCAGATCTGGGAAATGGGTTGAGCTCCTGCTGTTAGCCTCAGGTTCTGCCAACCTAGCAGTTTGAAAACATGCAAATGTGAGTAGATCAATAGGTACCGCTTCTGTGGGAAGGTATTATTATTATTATTATTATTATTATTATTATTATTATTATTGAGCCCCCCTTGGCGCAGTGGGTTAAACCGCTGAGGTGCTGAACTTGTTGACCGAAAGGTCACAGGTTCGAATCCGGGGAGCAAGGTGAGCTCCCATTATTAGCCCAGCTTCTGCCAACCTAGCAGTTCAAAAACATGCAAATGTGAGTAGATAAATAGGTAGCGCTCCATCGGGAAGGTAATGGCGCTCCATGCAGTCATGCTGGCCACATTACCTTGGAGGTGTCTATGGACAACACAGGCTCTTTGGCTTAGAAATGGAGATGAGCACAACCCCCCAGAGTCAGACATGACTAGACTCAACGTCAAGGGGAAACCTTTACCTTTATTTATTTTTATCCTACTTTTCTCCCATGAGTGAGATTCAAAGTGGCATACAATGGTTGAACAACAAAATTACATAACATAAAAATACAACAAAAAAACATCATATAAGCAAAACTATACATAAATACCCACTATGTAAGCCAAGTTTGCCAAATTAATAAATTGAAACATCAGACAATTAAAACTATTAC